GTCCCCATCCCCCCTCGGAGGGAGGAGCAGCGACACCAACACCACCAGGGGGCCCACCTCCAGCGAGGAGGTCCACGATGCCCCCCCCGAGCTGGAGGCCGGGGCTGTCTCGGGCGATGGGGGGGGGGGACCACACCGCCAGGGAGGCCCCCCCGCTGCCTCCTCGCGCCTCCCCGCCCCGGTGGTGCTGGTGTCGCCGCTCCTTGCTCCTGCCCCCAACCCTCCCCTTGCGCTGCCCTCCCCCCGCCCCCCCCCCTGCGGCCCGGACCACCGCGCGCGGCCCGCCGCTCCCGGCGGCCCCCCGAGGCACCCCTTCGAGGGCCTGCGGGAGGAGGAGCGCCCCGCGGGGTGCGGCGGCGCCGGGCGCGCGCGCCGCGCGGGGGCGGCCCCGGGGCCGCTGCGCGGCCCCCCCGCCTCTCTCGAGCAGTGGCGAGGCGTCCTGGCCTACCCCTCGGCCCACCGGAGAGCGTTCGGAGGGCCTCCGTGTGGTTTGCAGGAGGTGTTCCTGGCCTCTGTTGTTGAGAGCATCGTGTATTCGTTCACAGAGCACTGTCTCGGGCCCGAAGAGAGTTTCGTGGTAGGCCTACAGTGGGAACGCTGGGACGGCCGGTCCCTGCCCAGCTCTCGAGGAATCCAGGGTGGCATACTCTGACTGTTTTTCGGAGTTTCGCGGGGATTTCTTGGATCGGCGCTGGAGCTTCCTGGCGGCGCTTCCTGCGCGGGAGGCGGGTAAAACAAATCCTTTCTTTCAGGGTCAACAGAGATTCTTTCTTTCAGTGTCAAGACCATTTTTTCCCAGGTTGGAAATTCTTCCACGGCCCCGCAGCGTGCGACATTCTTCAAGAACTCCTCTGGGCAGGATTGGTCGGTTCGTGGGTTGGTTGCCTGTTTGGCTCGCCGGATTTTGGGTCAATCGGATTTTTTCCCGGGATGGTTGGTTGGTTGGTAGGTTGGTAGGTAGGTTGGTTGGTTGGTTATGTGGTTGGTTGGTTGGTAGGTTGGTTGGCTATTGGCTGGTTGGCTGCTTGGTTGGCTCACCTGTTTCAGAGTTATTTTTCCCCAGGCGATATGGTGGATCGTTGGTTTGTGGGTTGGTTGGTTGGTTGGTTGGTTGGTTGCTGGCTGGCTGGCTGGTTGGTTGGTTGGGCGGTTGGTTCGTTGGTTGGCTGGCCCGTTGGTTGGCTGGTGGTTGGTCGGTTGGTTGGTTGGTTGGGTGGCTGGGTGGCCGGTTGCCCGCTTGCCCGGGTGGTTGGTCGGTTCTCCCTTCCATTCCCCCTCCCCTCGTCCCCCTTCCTCCTCACTCCTCCTCCTTCCCCCCTCTTCTCTGTACCTTCCTCCCTTTCCCTGTCCTCCTCCTCCTCCTCCTTCCTCCCCCTCCGCCTCCTCCTCCTCCTCCTCCTCCTTCTCCTCCTCCTACTCCTCCTCCCCTTCGCCCGCAATTTATTGCAATGCAAGGTATATTGCAGCTGCAATGCAAACGCAGCGCAGTGCAACGCAATGGGATACACAATGCAGCGCAGTGCAGAGCCGCGCAAATATGCAACGCAGTGCAATGCAATGCAACACGATGCAATGCAGTGCAGCGCAAAACAATGCAGTGCAAACCCAACGCAGCGCAATGCAACGCAACGCAACGCAACGCAATGAACTGCGCCGTAATGCGGTGCGCTGCACTGCAGCGCAGTGCGCGCCTCGTCACGCGGCAGCGCCGCGGGGGCCGAAGCTGCTCGCCTTCCCGCTCCACGTCGCCACGCGGCAACGCCCTGGCGGGCGACAAGGTGCCGCTCCACTCGGCGTGTCGTGCGGCGCAGCGCCGAGGGGGCCTCCCCCTGCGGTGGCAGCAGCACAGGAGGGTAGTTTTGTTGTTCCGCGGCTGCTGGGCTCACGTGGCGGGTTCGACCTGGGGTTTCGTGTCGTCCCGCTTGGCGGTGCTGGTGCGGCAGCCAGCCCTGGAACTCGGGCCTCGGAGTTCCGTCAGGCTGGCGTTGCTGCCTCGTGCTGTCCTCGTCCCCCTGTTGCGCGGCCGTGGGGGCCGCCCCTTTTTGTTTTCGTGTGCGCGTTGGGGCACGGGGGAGGCCGTCCCGTCCTCTCCGACCGTGCGCCTTGCCGTTGCGCTTAGGACTCTCTTCGGGCACTGTCTTGTGCAGCCGACGCTGCCCAGTGGTCCCGCGGCACGCTGGTTGGTGCCGTGCAGGCATGGAGGCGCCCCTCTTGCCTCTTTCAGCTGGCGCCGAGCATTCAGGCGATTCAGACCAACCTCGCCTGTAGGTCTGCCTGTGTGAGTCGCTCTCCAGACAGAGTGGTGGAAGGTCCTCTTGCTGAGGGTTTGCAGAGGTTGATGTCAAACAAACTCTTCCTCCTCCTCCTCTTCCTCGTCCTCGTCGTCGTCGTCGTCCTCCTCCTCCTCCTCCTCCTCGTCCTCCTCATCCTCCTCCTCCTGCTCCTCCTCCTCCTCGTCCTCCTCCTTCTCCGCTTCTTCTCCCCCTCCTCCTCCTCCTCCTCTCTCGTCCGCGCTGCTCCTCCTCTCCTCCTCTCCTCCCCCCCTCCTCTCTCCTCTCCTCTTCCTCCTGCTCCTCCTCCTCCTTCCCCTCCTCCTCGTCCTCCTCGTCCTCCTCGTCCTCCGCCTCATCCTTCTCCTCCTCCTCGTCGTCCTCCTCCTCCACTTTCTCCTGCTCCTCCTCCTCCTCCTCCTCCTCCTCCTCCTCCTCCCTCCTTCTCCTCCTCTTCTTCTCCTCCTCCTCCTCCTCCTCCTCCTCCTCCTCCTCCTCCCCCCCCCTCTTTCAAGCTTCCCCCTTGTATGAGGTGTAATCCGAAGAAGAAAAATCGCCACAAACATGAACTTGTTGGCGCTCTGCGCGGGTTTCTTGCATCCCCGCTGGAGCCCTCCCCCCCGCCGGCGCCTCTTGCGCTGATCCAAGAAATCCGCGCGGAGCGCCAAAAGTTTATGTTTGTATTGAGTTTTTTCTTGTTCTACTGCAGTCGACCGGCACAGGAAGGCTCTGCAACCTTCCCAAGCGTCCCCTTGCACCCTTGCCTCCTCGGTCCGTCCTTGGCCACTTTCGTTGGCCGCGCCCCGCTCGAGAAGCTTGAATATGGGCGTCCAGGGCCCTTGCATCCTTATCGCGCATCCTTCCTATACGGGTTGACTGCAGGGCGGGGGTCCCGAGATGTCAGGCGGAGTTCCCGCTCCTGGGGCGTCTCCTTTGCCTTGTGTTGGCCAGGTGTTTTTTTCTGCGGTCTTTGGGTCCCTTCGAGGCTGGTTTTCGCCTCTCTGATGATTTTGGCCCTTTGGGTCCTCTTGGGCGTCCCCTTGGGTCTCTCTTGGGCCGTCTGGGAGTCCTCTTGGAGAATCGTAGGCTCTTTTGGGCCTCTTTGGGGCCTCTTTCGGTGGGGACCTCTTGGTGCCTCTGTTGGGTCCCTTCGGAGCCTCTTGGAGACATCATTTTGGGGCCTCTTTTGGGCCTCTTGGGGGGGCATGTTGCGGGCTCTGGGCACGATCTAAACAGGGATACACGATATGTCAGTTCGTGCTCCTTCTTCAGGGCCCCTCTTGGGGCCCTTCGGGGGCGTTCTCTTGGGATCTCTTGGGGCCGTCTGGGAGGTCTCCAGGGTCGTTTTGGACCCCCCCTGGTTCGTCTTGGGGCCCTCTTAGATTCTCTTTGGCCGTCTGGGGACGATATTTGGGGCCTCTTGGGCCGTCTTGGAGCGTCGGGGAGCTGAGAAGGCGAAAACGCCAAAAGCCTTCCAACACCGTGGGAAAATCAGTGGTTCTTGCTTTTCGAAGCCCTCTTGGGGAGCCTCTTGGAAATCTCGGGAGGCGTCTTCGAAGCCTCGTAGACTGTCTCGGAGTCTGGTTGGAGCTTCTCGGAGGCCTTCTAGGGCCTACTAGGGCCCTATGGCGGCCGTAGTAGTGGGGTCTCTGGAGACACTGTTGGCCATCCTGGAGCTCTCCAGGGCAGTCTTGTAGCCCCAAGATCGGGTGTTGCTAGAAGTACCCCTGGCCCAAGGTGCCCCCAGGGGGTGGCCTAGACGGCCTCCAGAGCACCCCTCACGAGGCCCAGAGGGCCCCAGGGGACCCAACATGAAGTGAAAAGCTGGGGGAACCTGGGCCAGGGGCACTTCTAGCAACACCCGAAAAGAGGAGCTGGGGGGGATGGCCCGCCTCGCCCCCGGTGAATTCAGTCAGGGGTGCGGCAGGGCCCCGGGCTTGGGGGGGTCAAACGCACAGTTTGGACTCGGGGGAGGGATATAGGGACATGATGTTCCAACCTACTTAGCCTTGATCACCAGAAAGAATTTCGAACGCCAGGATAACATACTGAAACTCGAGGGTTTCCACGTGTCGGGCCCTGTGAGACACTCGTCCGACACTGTTTCGATACTGTTTCGGCACTTTTCTGGGTGCTTGAAATTATTGATGGGATGTGGTCCTTAAGTACGATGGGAGCAACATAAGTATAGGGGGTAACATCTCGCACGCCTGGAGGTTCGGTGGATTTAAGGATGAGTCTTCCCATTCGGTTGAATGTGCAAGACCATGTCCCAGGGATGGCTCTAGTACATTCGTCTCCGATCAGATCTACAACTTCTTCCTGGTTCTTGGCTCCATTGTTGTTACGTGTTTCAGGTCGCCCAGAGGCTGAGGGAATGCTCAGATAGGCTAAAACGAAGTCTTCGAACCTAGGGAGGTCGCGCGGGTTAAGACATTGTAGCTCGACTAGCCGAGAAACAAGCAACTTATATTGCTTAGGTTCGATTGCGCCGAAGAAAGTTCAGAAGTGCAAACTTGGCAAATAGTTAAAAGCGAGGGGTTCGATTTCCGCTTTCGCACTGCGAAGAGCTACGTTGCTAAGCTTCTGGAGCTTGGCCTTCGTAGCCTTTGGCCCGCGCGAGGGGGGCCAGAGGACTATACTTTTTCGTCGTAGCGGTGCAGGCTCAGACCGACATGATGGCAATATGACTGGCGCGCGGGGAACCGCTGCGACGAGAGCTGCCCAGTGATGACCTCCCAGCTGCTTCTGCCAAGCATCAGCACCCAGCGCAGGAGCATTGCTCTGTCGGAGAGGCCGGACAGCGCTCGGTCGCAGAGGCCGGCCAGCGCCCGGTCGCAGCTGACCTCCCGCTCGGGGCGCAGCTCCGTAGACACAGGCGCGGACCTCTTTTCCCTCAGCAGGTTTTGCGCGGGCCAGGAAGAGCGGGAGGGGAACGAGGAGGTGGAGGGTTGGTGTGCCTGATGATGTCTTTGGGCCGCCAGAGGCGTCAGTGGAGTCTCGCGAGGTAGCGCAGTTCTACGGCGGCTTTCCACGGCGTGCTCGAACTTACCTCTGCAGGATGGCACGGCTGAGTCGATCGAATTGCTCCACCCTCCACGAGGCGAGCCGCAGCTCGAAAAACCGCCCCGACGCCATGCCTTTTTTTTCACTCGGCCAGTTTCCGGGTCTGGGCTGTCTTTTTATTATACGCTCATAATAAGTAGACAGCCCCGACGCGGAAACTACAAACTGAAGCAAACCAAGTCACACACGGAAGCAAGGCAGGCATAGAGCACCGAATGGAACGTGGACATGGCTTACACAATTCTGTAAGTTTGACTTGTGCTTTGTTTACGCTTGCCTTATGTGCCTGAGTTGGTATGGTTTCCGTTTGTCGTTTCCATGGCCAGGCTGTCCTGTGTGTGTTTGTTCTGTACTTCCGCCTGTCGAGTAGGCCAAGATGGCCAGGTTGGTCTTATATGGCCTCCAAGACGACCCACGATGCCCTGCAGCACGCCCAGGATGGCCGCTCTCCGCCTGGACGTCTCAGGAGCCCGCAGAAGTGGCGACAGTTGAGCGGTTGGCAGCCCCCAGGAAGAGAAGGTCATGCTTGGATATTTGTAATGCCGCTCTCCGCTGGACGTCCCCGGAGCCCACGAAGGAGCTGCGGAGGTGCAAACCCTCGGGGAGGGAAGGTCCAGCTCGGGTGTTCGCATAGCCCCCGCCCGCCGCGGGACTTCCCAGGAGCTCACGACACCGGCGGCAGCTCTGCACTTGGCAGCCCCGAGGGAGTCAGGGTTCAATCTGGCAGCTCTGGTCGTGAGGAGGCTGCGAAGCGGGGTTGCTAGCACCGCGGGCGACCAGTCAGACAGGCACCGATTTTGAAGCAACGCGACGTGGCACGCTATCCCCGCAACCGAATTGCACGCTATCTCCACATGCGTCGACAAACCATGCTCAGCATGCATATTTTCGCTGGAATCTTCCATTTTGGGGACTTTGGGGGATAGCGTGCAATTCGGAGATGGATGCAACACTGTATCTTTCCGACGCCAACCGTATGCGATTTCTCTGAAGGACTACACCGACCTGTCGATCGAAGTGTTGCACACAGTGGAGTCGTTCAACACGACGTTGTTGGACTTGAAGCTTGAAGCGACGCAGCTGAAGCAGCTGAGGGTCTCGCCGCCATTGAAGCAGGCCGCGGTCGTCAAGGGCATTTTTCTTAAGGTATCCCGCGTGTCTGGTCTTGGGCTACAAACATTTCAGCGCCAGTTTCTGGACGAGATCGGCAATGTCAGGAGCATCAGCGTAAGGTTTTTCCGTGCGCTGGTGGCCCTTATTTATACAGTATTGGCGAAGCCAATTGGCATGTGGCCCGCAGCAGAGAATATATTTGGGAACAGCCAGGAGCAGCTGCGGTTGTTGCAGGATCTGGCACAGGCCGCCTCGGATACGGCAGCCCTTCAGAGAGGTGCCTTCGAGGAGGCAAAGGAGGCTGCAAAGCTTGTGCTCTCCCAGGTCAGCTTGAGCGAGCGGAAAGAGGAAAGAGAGGCAGCGAGGCAGAAGAGAATCGTCATGCTGAGGAACACGGGCGCAGGGCCAGCACCAGTACCAGCCCCGCGCAGAGCGCGCACCGCAGGGGCTCTGGTGGGTCTTTCCCGCAAGGCCTCGGGATTGATAGACTCCGAGCCTGCTCGGCGTACAAGTGTTACGTGCGGCGAGGAGTTATTCGAGCTTGACGCCGACGAATTCGATGCAGAGGTGTTCGAGAAGTTTCAGGCGCTACTGGCTCCCGTAAAGGAAGACGACGTCGACACCGTCGTGCGGGAGCTCTCCCTCCTGAACAGGCCTGCGCGCAAGAAGGACAACGGGGCCTGACAATCTACTCTGGAGCATTCGCCCCGTTCCTCCTTCCTATCCTGCCCCCATCTCCCTTCACCCGTCCCGCGCTTTCGGCCGTTCTTATAGTCTTTCTCCTCGCCTATCTTCTCCCCTCCCCCCTCCCTCCCCTCTTCTCCTCGCCTTCTCTCCCTCCCTCCCCTCTCCCCTCCCCTCTCCTCGCCTCCCCCTCTTCCCTCCTCCCCTCTTCTCCTCGCCTTTCCTCCCTCCCCTCATCCTCCTCGCCTTTCTGTCGTTCTTTAAAATCTTTCTTGCCTTTCCCCTCCTCTCCTCGCCTCTCTTCTCCCCTCCTCCCTCCCTCCCCCCTTTTCCCCCTGACCCCTCCCTCAGCTCGAGGAGATACTTGATCGATCGCAACAAACTCCAGATTACAAGAGCTACTGGAAGGTGGCGGTAGCCAACATGCGACGTATCAGGGAGCGGAACACTCAGAAAGTGATACTCACCGCTTCTCGGGAACATGGCCGGACGGACAACGTAACCACATGAGCCTCTCTCACGATGATCGCTTTGGGTTTGGCAGGTCATATTGGCTTCTCCTCCTCCTCCTCCTCCTCCTCCTCCTCCTCCTACTACTCGAACGGTATCCTGCCAATGCTTCTTGCTTTCTGTGCTCTTCCCTTTCCCGCTGCCAGTTCGGTGGGGGCTCGGAGACTGGCCAGTGTGCCCGTGCCCGTGGTAGTCGCGTGACTTGCCGGTGGTCGACGCCTGTGCGCAGATAGGGCACGATGCCGGAGAAAAGCCTCACTCATGTTCTTGTTAGGGCTATAGGTCGGGGGTGGACAGAACCCCCAACAGTGACACGTCGATTAGTGAATTGTCCGTTTTCGGTTCTCGAGAGGGCGCCGTGGCCGTTATTTTCCAGGCTTGCGCCCGTCAGGTTTGGGCCTCAGGTCGTTTTCACTAAACCACGTTTTACTAAAGGGGGGTCTGTCCATCCCCGAATAGGGCTATGGGGCTATACGCCTACAGGGCTATAGGGCTACAAGGCTCTGGGGTTGTAGGGCTACGGGGCTGCAAGGCCATAGCGCTATAGGGCTATAGGGCTGCAGGGCTATAGGGCTATAGGGGTATAAGGCTATCAGGCAACAAGGCTATAGGGCTGTAGGGCTATAGGGCTATAGGGCTATAGGGCCATACGGCTATTAGGGCTATAGGGCTATGGGGCGATAGGGCTATAGGGCTATAGGTCTAACGGGCTATAAGGCTATAGGGCTATAGGGCTATAGGGCTATAGGGCTATAGGGCTACTGGGCACCCGGACACCTGGGCACCCGGGCACCCGGGCACCCGGGCACCTGGACACCCGGGCACCTGGGCACCCAGGCACCCGGGCACCCGGGCGTGCTGCCGAAATCCTCGCCGCAGCTAATCTAACGATATGCATCCGCTCGGACCCCTACAGAGGCAAGCTCTGATTGGGGAAGATCCGCCTTCACCTTGCATCCCATGTCCTAGTTGGTAGCGGAGTTCCGGCTCCTTTCCACTACCTTCCCGGCGCCATGGCTTTCCTGGCGCTGCTACTTACGCAGGCCGCAAGATTTTCCTCTTGAGCCCCACATGTCGGAAGCGACGCGCCGTTCAGGTGAGCGGATACATGTAGCGCTCGCTTCGAGGTGGGGTAGATATGTTAGTGGTGGAGATGCGGGAGTTGGCCGGGCCCGCAGTGGCGTTCGAGCAAACTTATGTTATGGGAGGACTTTCGGGAGATGGCCAGGCCCGCGGTGGCGCTCGAGCAACCACATGTTATGTGAGAAGTGAAGGTCGGTGGCCGAGCCCGCTGTGGCACTCGAGCTTCCGACTTGGACACTTTGCTTGTGTGTCCTCGCCCTCCCTCATCCCTTCCTCTCCTCCTCCTCCTCCTCCCACTTCCCCCCTCCTCCTCCCACCTCCTCCCTCCTCCTCCTCCCTCCTTCGTCCGTCCGCCTCCCTCCTCTCTCCTCCCTCCTCCCTCATCCTCCTTCTCCTCCTCTTTCTCTTCCTTCCCCCTCTCTTCCCTGATTATTCCTCCTCTCTCCCCACAGCATTGGTCTGCAGATCCACAGCTCTGTGGATAGCATGATGCTTCACTCGCGGTGTTCCGCGGATCCCATTTCCCCTGGGTCCCGGATGTTAATTATTATTATAGGCCCGCAAGAGGGATCCAATTGGATCCATAGATGTCCTCATACTTCAAGCCCAAGAGGAAAATCTTTCGGCCTGGGGATGTACGTTCCTGCTCGGCACCGGCTTCACAACCTCTCCGTATTCGACCTCATGGCTCAGCACCATGCTGCTCGCCGTAACCACGCACCTCCTGCACGCCAGCGGGGAAGTATCCCCACTGCTTCCAGGACCTGCGGACCATGATGTGCACCATTCGTTTTACGACAACACGTGCATGAACGGCGACCACATGTTTACCCCTGATTACGACAACCTCATCAATTACGATTTCAAGATTTACAAAGACGGCGACCCGCCCTTCCTCTCCGTCTCTCACCCGCGGCGTGCTCAGACTATGCTTAGCTGTTCGTGGATCCCGAGGCCACTCCCGCACCCATCAGTGGAGACGTCAGCGGAACTGTAGTCAACCGCGTAGCATGGGCAGCGCTTACACAGCGTTCACACCAGCGGCTCCGGTCATGGGTCCGGAGCTACTCGTCGATATGTTACGAGAGTCTTGGGAGGAACAACAGAGCTGCGGGAAGTTTGCATGGGGGTTTGGCGATTATATTGTCAGCTCTCACAAGGAAACGAAACAGACCAGGGACTGTCTGTGTTCGATACATGGAACGTGTCGGCACACCCGCTCATCACCTTCAGTCCAGCATAACGAGATTCCAATGTGCGCTCCTCTTGACGATCCTTTGGTCGCTGATATTCAATACGCTGACGCCATGACGTACGACGTGCATTCCCACAAGTACGTTGTGGGATTTACCGAATGTGGCGGATGCCACAACGACGCGACGAAAGACTGAACCCAATACGCTGACGAGGAGGAATTCATTTCGTGGTCGGAACCCGCGGCGGTCCCGAGGCTCCTGGTCAAAGCAACGCCGTCGATGTGCCCCTGGCACCTATTACCTCGTACACCTATGGGAGGACTACCACCTTGGATGGAAGGCCATCTGGGTAGGCGTGCTTGCCGTAGCCAGCTGCCTAGCTTGCAAATATTGTGTATTTGTCGAGGGGGCGCGGGGGGCGAGGAGGTGGAAAGGAGGAAAAATAACGGGAGGAGGAGATGAGTCAGGGCCGTCTCGTGGCCCTGGCTTGGGCCGGCAGGCGCTGGCCAGCTGAGCCACCGCCGTGCCCTCCGAGCGGCCGTCCGGGATAACGGCGTGAGCCCCATTCTCTTCCCCGATCGTGTCGGGTGAGTTGCGTTTCGGGCGGCGCCCGCGGTGCCGAATGCCGCGGTCGACTGGCCGCCGCCGAGCGGGTGGCCGTCGCCCAGTCCCGGCAATGCGCCCCTCTGGGGCGCCAGCGGGCGGGCGGCCGACGCCCCAGGGGCGGAGTGCAGCGGAGGCACCGCTGCGCAGCGCGAGCTGCCGGGGGCGGTGGGCGCGGCGGGCTGTGGCCTGGCCAGCGTCTGGTCGGGCTGGGATGGGCCAGGCACCTCCAGTGGCCCCGGCTGGCGCCGGGCAGGAACGGGCCGTTGGCGTTTGCAGGCTGAGCGGGGTGCTGTTCCTGGGCGGCTCGGCGTTCGACCCGCCTGTTGGCTGGCCCCGACCTGGTGGCGTGCGTCTGCGGTTCAGCGCGGTGCGACCTGTGCCCGCAGCAGAAGGCCAAGGACGCTTGGGGTGTCGCGGACTGGATGTTGCGCATCTGCGTCGGCCCCGCGATCCAGGTGGTCAGCGTCGGTTGCAGCTTCGTGGCGTCGGGCCGCCGCGGCGGCAAGGCGCGCGCGACGGCCACCGGCGGCCCAAACTCGCGCCAGAGGGCGCAGGTCCGCGCGGCGGTCGAATTAGGGGGCCTGGACGGCTCGTGCATTGCGCCATGCAGGCAAGATCGCGGAGCGACAGCTGCCAGGCAGCGGCAGTTTCGCTTGGTGGTTCGCGCGTGCCTCCATCCTGCTGAAATTCTTCGCTGCCAAAGGCGCCCGGGGGATCTCAGGGGGCGAAGGGCGCATCAGGGCCACCTCCGCTGAGGCCGAGGTGGGGCCAGCCCGCCCCGGCGAGCTGGCGGCCCAGCAGCAGAGCCTCGACGGCAGCAGGTCGGCTGCCAGTGCCTGGGGAGTCAGCGTTGGCGCCGCGGCCGTCGCCGTCATGGGCCGCGAGCTGGCCTGCTGGCGTCTCGGGCAGGGCGATGACCACAACGGGCCGATATTCTGTGCGTTGTGAGGGGTCTGCATGGAGCTCGGCGGCAGGGGCGGCGCTGGGCCATGCTTGAAGGCGGCCAGCCCAGGGCGCGGAGGCGCCGACAAGTGGCGCAGAGGCCGGAGGGGCCTCGGGGGGCGCGGGCTGCGCCTGGGCTGCCACCAGAAGAAGCTGGGCGAGAGGCCGCGTGCCATCGAACCCTTCCCCGAGGAGGCCGAGCTCTGCTACCTGGCTTGGGTCGGGGTGCAGCCCGAGGCAAGTGCCGGTGATCCCTGTGGGTCTCTCGCCGTGCCAGGAGGGATTCGCGCCGCCCCTGTCGCAGCTGATGGCGATGGGGGCGCGAGCCGCGCCCGTGGGGATGCGGCGCCAGGGTGCGCGGAGGTGCCGACCCGGCTGTCCGAGGGACGCGGCAGCGCTGCAAGGCTCGCCGTTTTCGGCTTCGACGAGGGCGGCCTGGCGGACTGGGGCGAGGTGGCGGCGCCCCGCGTTGAGGAGCCAGCTGCTGTTCCGCCGCCGCCCGAGGGGCAGTTGAGGCTGCGGCGGCGAAGACAGCGGCAGCTGAGGCTAAGTGCAGCTTGCCAGGTCGTCCGCCCTGAGCGCAAAAGTGAGTGGGCGTTCCCCGTTTGCTTGCGCGACGAGCGCCTTCCCCGCGTGATTGGGGCGCGGCCGTCTGGTGCCTTCCCCGCTACGGTGCGTGCCCAGTGGCCTAGAGGGTGGTGGGCGTCGATCCTGGTCGGTTGTCGCTGCCAGGTGGTGGCCGCGCCTGGCTCGCGCGTAGGGGTGTTTTCGGAGATGGAGGATCGGGGTCTGTCGGCCCTTTCCCCTTTGGGCCCCCCCCCTGCGCGGTTGGAAGGGCCAGCGGGCCTTCTTTGTCTCTTCTTGCAAGTCGGGCCCCGCGCCTCATTTCGATTCCACAGGTGCAAGGTAGACCGCGGGAGCTCGGTAGACCACGGAAAGGTGACAGACATCAGGAACGCGGCAGGCCACGAGAGCACGGCTCACCAGCACGGCAAACCACAGGAGCATGGGCCAGACCTCAGGGGCTCAAGGAACACGGCAGACTATCACGGCAGACCATGGCAGCGTGGCAGACCCGCGCGGCCGGCCGCGGGGGCGCGCCGGACCAGCATTGCAGACTC